TATGTTATTTTTACCTGATTTTTGAGACTGTTTCTTAAAAAAAAAAAAAAAAAAAATCAGACATTCCACTTGGTTTCTATAGTAACAAAAACTAATTTCTGGGTTTCTTCATGAGCTATGGTCATGTTGAAACCAAAGAGGACTCGTGGGTCTTGCAAAATTCATAATGTCCCGAACAAATAGGACTGCCATCTTCTGGCATTTGTCGGAAATGACAGATAATTGTATCAGTTCTGCATCTTAACAGTAAGTTTCCCTCCCCTCATATTTCTTCCTGCTATTTCTAGCACAGCGAAATGAGGTGGCACACAGGCAGTTCTTGGGTGACCTCATCAAGTTGCAAATAAGCCTTTTGTCCCAAAGTGAACATGAAGAAGTGAGGGTGTCTTCATGCAAATATTTGTTCCAGAAAGTTGAAAGATGGATATACCGGGGAATGAAGGATCAGAATCTTCCCACTTCTTTCGAAAAGTTATTTAATTGCTTTAGATTTTAAAAAACTTAAAGCACATGAGCCATGAGGTTCAAAGGGAAATTCTACCAGTGGTTACTAAGACAGAGTTTTTCTGTCCAAAGAAAGAATGCAAGGACGACTAATGGAAGAGGGCATTTGGATCTGGAGACTTCCTCCCACCCTTTGCAGCTGACAGCAGTGAGTTATGAGGCGTTATGGAGTAAAACAGAGTTACCGTAAGAGCTGTCCAAATAACTTATGGCGCTGAATCACAACACCATCTTCGGGAGATAATTCATGTCACCAGTGAACGTTTAGTAATATGGATTTTCTCCAAAGCACCATATTTAATAAACAACACCACAGAGAGGTGAATTTAATGGCAAATTAAATTATTTAATAGAATTGAACTGCACTGCAACAGGGAACAAGGGCTGATTAAAATGTATGCAAAGTTCATAAAGTCATTACAACTAAATACTGGTATGGGTAGCAAGTAATAATCAGTCCAAAATACTAAGATGCCAGCCAAATCAAAGATTAAAGAGAGTAAGTATAAGTTTAATTAGTATATATGTGTGTATATATATGTATTTCAACACTAAATTTCCATTATTACAGACATGACAGTAAATTAAAATTTAAACATATAAGGCAGATATTAGTTCTATCCGAATAGTTTATTGTTGCCATATCTGTTCTTTACAATATTAGGCACAACAAATAATTACTTGACTAAATGAATTACTTATTCTATTATTGATGTTACCTTTCCTAAAAATATATATATTTCTCCATGATTCAACCCAGTGCAGTTGTGGAATTTCAGGCTCACAAAGTAAAATCGGTTCCACGAAACAATTGAAAGATTATTTGTAGTCTGTCCAAATGTGAGCTAGAGTGTGCTCATCAATAATAGATTAATTGCGGTAACTATGGGACATTCTAATGTGCAACGGTAGTAGTGAGATGTTACTGATTTTATTTGAACAACATCACTACCCTTGCCTCAGGTAAAACTGGCTCAAAAAGACCCAAGTAGGACTTTAAAGCACTTACCCCAGGTCATACCCCTGTGAGAAGAGTTGAAATATTATAGTTAGCCCTTGGTTTTGTCTCCACAATCAGTGCTGTTCCGGCACGAATCCCCAACTCTGATCCATTTCTAACTTCATCTGGTTAGCTTACTCAGCCAGGCTACAGACATTTCTGTGCACTTGGTCATGCTCGTGGATTTTTCTGCATTGTGTGGACTTCAAGTTTCTTTCTCTGAACGCTGAGTCTCAGTCTGGGTGCCCTTGCTCTCTTCCAAGATTAAGAAATTTTCTACTTCACAGGTTCCCTCTATAATAAGGCTAATTGTACCCGTCAGAAGTCTTATACACAGGCAATTATTAAAGTCAAGAATAAGTACCTAGTACGACTCAATATGCCTATTGAATACCCTGTGGGGTCCATTTATCTTGAAATTATTTTTGGCACTCACCATCTTCTTCCTATTCCCACTTCCAAGATCCTAGTCCAGGCTCCCCAGTGTTTATCAGCACCACTCTGAAAATGATCTCCCACTTGTGTCCTAACCATTTCTCCCCTCTGCAAACTATCCAGGCTACTTTCGGATTAGTCATCTGAAGGAACAGCTCTGATTAAAACATGCTCAATGTCAGCAATTGCCCTTAACTTGCAACACAGAATCCTCGTGGTAAACTGTGTCTCTCAAACTGTGCACAGTCTGACACCAACTTCCCTTCCTGACTCTTGTGTCTACAATTGCATGTGGAAAGTTTACCCTCACAAGTATTGAGCAGGATTTTAGTTTTAAGTTAAAAATTATATAATTATCTTAACCTAAAATTATACATATAGTGATATTTAGACTTTGAATGATTTAAGGAAATGATAGTGTAAAGGAAAGCATATCATGATGAGATAATTTAAATAGAAAGTTCTCTGACACCNTTTGACACCAAAATAGTGTTCTAAGGAGACTGTAGAACTTGACTCCAGAACTTTGTGAATTTTGTCTTCGAATTTGTATCTTCTCCACCCTGATTTTATTAATTCAAAGGAAGCCAATATGGTATTCTAAAACTGAGGTCAATCTAAAATAAAGAACTAAAAAACATCCAAAGTGTCCAAACATCTATCTTAATTTCCTATTTTTTATTTCATTCACTAATAATAAATTTTCCTAAGGAAATGTATCCGGCTATCCTGTGCAGTGAGATAGGCNACTGAGGTCAATCTAAAATAAAGAACTAAAAAACATCAAAAGTGTCCAAACATCTATCTTAATTTCCTATTTTTTTATTTCATTCACTAATAATAAATTTTCCTAAGGAAATGTATCCGGCTGTCCTGTGCAGTGAGATAGGCCAGAACATTTTTCCCCAACAGTGATACACTCCATTAATATGCTTCTTGGAAAACTGCCTGGAGAGGAGAAACCAGTTCTAATTTTTAAATACTCTAGACAGCTTGTTAGAGCTTAAGCTGAAATGCAAAACTAGCGCAGGCAGGTCAGGCGCACCTGAAATCCAGCATACACTCTGTATGGTCCTTGCTGATGCCCAGAGATTTCTTAGATCAAACCCATAAGCGGAAATAACATTCCTCTTAGTAACTTGTTACGTGAATAGATTTGCATTTTCACAGTAAGTTAGGAGCGTACACTAAATCTAATTTCCCATTGAATCGCATTAAGTATCTGCAAGACACCATGTAGTTGTTTAACCAAACGCTTCCTCCATGGGAAACCAGGAATTGAGGACGATACAAGTCCAACGGAGACAGCAGGGTCACATTAAAGTGACCCGTGGGCTTTCCTTTTCTCGCATCTCTGCGCTCTGATAGGACCATCTTCATGTACTCTTTTGCTATTAGACTGGCGCCTAAATGAACATGTGCAGATGGTGAAAGATGGGTCACACTGCCGAGGGCTGACACTGTTTGCCTTGAAGAACATAGCAGAATACCACATGCTCAGGGCAAAAGATCCATTCCTCATAGTCATCAGAAAATTAGAAGTTTTAAGCATAGGCTCAGGTTTCTTGATTAAATTTTTGCAGCTTAGGCAAATAATATGAACAGTCAAGTGTTTGATTTTCAGACTTGATTATTTACACTGCCAAAATACCTCGAATGATTACAGGTTTCCCATTTCAAATAGTTACATTAAGTACCATTCAACATTTTGTAAAATACTTTTTAAGTCCCTAAGTGGGTTAAAATTATATTATTTTTCTATTATGTAGAATAATTATTATGTTTATTGCCCAAGAGGAGAATTAGCTCCTAGAAATGAAGTCTTGGTTAAATTTTGCTGCACATTACTTCAAACACAATATATGGAAAAAAATTGAGCTCTTGGAACAACTTTGTAAAATAATTCAGAAAATAATTGGTATAAAATGCTGTAACCACAGTATATATTTAACGTTTCCTCCAATAATCATTAAAAATGCGGTTAAACCAGACTTTCTTTAGCACTCTTATTTTTATTCTGTAATAACTTTTAAAAATGGCTTTTCTGCACCCAAACTGACCATATTTACTCACAGTTTGCCCCCTTGTTTTGAAAAAGTGTAAAGCAAATATGCACACATGTTAATTTATTTGAAGTTGAAATGCACATGCTTGTTCTATTTTAAGAGAAGCCTGATGGTTGAAACATTTCATTTGTCAGAAGCTTAATAGAAATATTTCCTAAGTGTGCAATGAAGCCAGTAATAAAATAGTGGTAAATGGAAAAATTATACTTGTTCAAAATCCATTAACTATTTTATAGCTATATAGAACCACATAAAAATTTAAGACATGTTCTAACACACAAATAGTCAAATAAAATATTTGCATTGATATAAAAATGTTTTATTAATTTTTATTATTCTTCCCCCCATCGCCCATGCACAAAATGGAAAAACACATTTGGGCCAGATATTATGGTTATCAAAATGTTCACATGGCTGACCCAAAATTCAGGTTATTATTCTTACCCTAGGAATAATAAAAGTAAACTCAGAGAACCATTCCTTTTGTCTTTATCATCGGGTAACCTCTACGCTCCAGAGAGGAAAATGTTGGCATGCTTATCTCTGTCTTCCAACGAATTATGTAAATTCCAGGTTCCTGGAAGTATTGATTATAGATACAATATATAAATTTAAAGTCAGAGAGACAAGAGTTCAACAACAGGCTCCTCCATCCTTACGTTGTGTGCTTATTACCCAGAGTTTCCTCATTGACAGAATGGAAATCAGGATAATGCCTGCCTTGTGAGCTGACAAGAGGATATGATACAGGATCTGGCACATAGTAAATGTTTAATAAATTTTACTGCTATGTTGCTACATGAGGAAAAATAACTTTAAAACATGGTGATAAAAGCTACTTTTACTGGAAACTTACTAATGTGCCAGGCACCGAATGAGTATTTAACACGCATTATCTAATTTTTTTCGTGTGTTTGTTTCTTTTATAGATTTCAGAGAGAGGAAGGGAGAGAGAGAGATAGAAACATCAATGATAAGAGAGAGCCATTGATCACTGCCTCCTGCACGCCCCCCCCTGGGGACAGAGCCCGAAACCCGGGCCCGGGCCCTGACCTGAACCAAACCATGGCTCTAAGAGAAGGTGAGTAGATGGTCGAACTCACCAGAATCACACAAATCTGATTATAGCTATAATCATCCAAACATCCAGGGATTTAGCAACATATCCAAAAAAGGCCATGCCAATGTCTGATTCACAGTTTTACAATTTGGAACAGATGATACCTATTTTACATTCACAATATACACCATATTCAGATGACACCTATTTTACTGTTTATAATATAAATGCCCTTGAACCTAGAAGTTACAATATGTTATTACTGGAAATTACGGTTTATCACACAAAGAATCACAATAAATATTTGCTTTTGGTTAAACTCCACCTTTGAATTTTCTATTATTTTATTCAAACAAAGGAGCTATATACATGCACAAGGTATGAATAAATTTCACCAGGAAAATATTACTTGTATTTCAAATATTAAGAGTTGGAATATCACACTCATTGAATCATTGAGTCAATACCGGAATTGATTTCCTGCCTCAAGTTAAAACAAAATTAAGATAACACTGGCATTGGCTCTAGCAACAGCTTAAATCCTGAAGCAATGCTGATTTATATACATGCAGAATTGGGTTTTGAATCACTTTTAATGTATTTATGTAACTTAAGGTTCTGTTCAGAGAAAAATGCCAGCTATGTTTGTCTTGCCTTTTTCTAAGTCCATCATGAAATTGTCTAATGAAATCACTCAAAAATATTAAGAAAGACAAAATTGCTTAGTTTTTCCCTGCTCAATAGAAATAAAAAGTAAGTTATTTCCAGGTAGTAAGCTGAATGGCCAAAATTACAGTGCCATTTTCTGCCTCATGCTGTGCCCATTTAGCAAAACAGAATTGGTCACCAGGTTCTTAGCATTGCTTTTCAGAGACGTCATACGCACTGCAGAAGAGCTGACCAAGTAGCTGGTGGATCTCTCTGGATAGGACTTCCTCCCACAGCAGAGCTGGCTGTTGAAGTGCCTTCTGAAGCTTTCACTGAGTAAATAAAGAGCAAATGGGTTGACGCAAGAATTGCAAAAGCTCAGAATCCGGGCGACTAAGGTGACAATCATGTGGCCCAGAGACGGATCAATCTTGTTATAGTTGAAAGACCTATACAGGTAGAGGATGTGATTTGGAAACCAACAGAAGGCAAAGCAGCCCACAAAGACCAGCACAATTTTAGCCAGGCGTTTCCGAGTTTCCATCTGCAAAACACAAGACCCGTTGGTTAAAATGAAAATGGAGCCAGCCACATCCGAAACATCGTAATACAATATGGGTGAGCTTCTGATAGCATGCAAATGCCTCCAAAAATGTAAAAACCATTTATTTGCCTCAACAACTTGATGATTTTAACAATTTGATGAAGACTATTATGGTCACTACACTATTTCCATTCATAATATGTGACAGTTTATACAAGACTAGATGATAAATTATTAAGAAATGGCTATGTCTCTTTGTGAAAACTGTGATCTTAAAAAGTCTCTTATTTTTAAATATTTTCCTTTAGCTTAAGGTTATTGTGCTCACTTTAATTACCAGTCTTTTCTGGTGGTATTAAATCCACTGAATTGATGAATCACAGAATATATTCAACCTTAATTTTTTTAAAAATTAGAGTATTTTAATAGGAAAAATACATCTATTAAAATAAGGTATAACTTTTTTTAACCTTTATTGCACACAAAAAGCCAGGTTTTAAGATTTAAATTCCAGACTCACATAAATCAAAAGCACCTGAAATAATTAATCCTATAAGCATTACTGTGTTGCTTACCTTTAAAAATAAAAATACAGTTTTCCTTATTTTCATAAAATTTACATACTGGGTCTATTATTTTATAGGCAGGTCTTCAGGAATATGACAGACAGTTCAAATATTGGACATTGATCTTTTTTAATCTAAAAATCATTTTCTAATATCTAGAGTCCAAGTTTAGCTGATATTTGCCTGATTTAAGTATTTAAATAAGGCAACATGAATGTGAAAAAAAAAATTATCAAAAGATATTGTTAGTAAGCGATACACTTTCTGAGCTAAAACTAATGGTAGTCAACTAGAATATGCCAGAGGAGGCTGGGAATGTTTAGGAATCAAAGAGGTCTAATACTGGCGAGTAGTGGTGAGTGGTGACAGCAAAGAAAGGGGACGTGAAAAGGAGCCCAGTTTAGAAGGCACGACGGGGCGCCCCAGATGTTTCCCTGTGGCAGAAGTCAGGCGGCCCGCAAGGCTAAGCAGGGGAGCATGGGCGCAAGGATTTCATGGCGGTCTATGCCTGGGCCTTCAAATGCTGCTGGCATTGAGAGTACCTCTCAACAAATGTCACGCACAATTACCCAGCCTGAGCTTGTTTAAGTCTCAATAGGGAAATTTATAAAAACAAGGCAGAGCTAAGGCCATCAGAAAAAAATGATGGTGGGGAGGGTAAGAGGAACCCAACTTTAGAAACCTGATCAAAAACTCAAATACCCAAACGGAGAGAAAAATCAGATCTCAAGGCTCTGACTTAAAGGATTATATAAAAAGTAAAAAGCACATAACCTGGACATTTTTCCTTCAATGATGTCAGATATTTAGGTAATAAATATATTAATTTATCTAACAATTACTTTAATGATTGGTTGATTTTTTTTGAGACTTTGAAGCAGACATGGTTCTCGGAAGTTGATGCTCATCAGTAAACAGAAGTTACCTTCCAAGCAAGAAGCCTTTATGAGATTCTGCTGTTGCTAAAGGGCCCAAAACCCCAGCTGGTGCCTCCAGCTACAATCTAGCAAATTTTAATGATCAGCAGTTCAACTTGTCTTCATTCAAATTAGGGAACAGTCACCTATAGCCTCCCTGTACCCTTTGAAAGAAGTTCCTTGCTAGGAGTGCAAAAATGTGCAACTTGAAACTTTGTCCCATAAGTACAGTGTTTCCATCTCTTCATGGATTAACATACTTTTTCCTTAAATTAGTGCTGCATTTTCTTTAAGGAAGAAAGTACGTAAGCTGCATGTTGCAACTTTTAAATTAGTATACCATCTTTACAGGAAAATCTATAAAGTTGAGTTAGACCAAGTAGGACTTCAGCACCAGCCTACCTTCGATCACTCCCACGTTTGCTGCCCGGTGCCCAGAGCCTCCCATTGGGCCTCCTACCAAACCTAACCCAGACCCGGCAGCATCCTACAGCCCCTCCCTGATGACTCTTCTCCCAGGCTTCCTGTCATCCTTAGAGGACTAATGGGAGAAGAGACAATAATTAAGTTTATACTTAAACTGCAAAAATTTTCTGGTTTATTATGTGATTATTTGCATAAATATTTGCATGTAAAAAAAGTTTGTTCCAAAACATCAAATTTTAATGGTTGTAGGCCCAGAGGGCAAAGAAGTAGGACTTCGGGGGACTTTACAGAGCTATGACATAGCCACACATTAGAGACCCCCGGTGCCCCTTCTAGTTCAGGCCAATGCATGTCCCAGTCAGTGCCCTCTGACTCAGTTCTAATCATCCCTGGAATTGAGAGCCCATAAAACTGATCACAAAATAGCAGCACTGCAGCTAACCAGGGCACCCCTAATACACGCACACGCACACACACCAAGCTTACCTGCTTTTTGGTATGTTCATTGTATTCTGCAGGAAGATTATGTGCACTTCTAATTAAGGTCTTTGCAATATGATAATAATAAACACTAATAATAGCAAGGGGTATGAGGAAATACACCAAGAAGATGAGCACCGAGTGAATCTTGGGGTGTAACTCGTCAGTCTGAGGGTAGGGTACGCACGCCGTGAAGCTACTGTTATCCAAGCTATCGATTTGCACCACTTCGGAAAACACGGCTTCTGGAACAGCCAACAGCACCGACGCCGCCCAGATGCCCACGGCCTTCGCACAGGTCCACAGCGCCGCCCCCGACGCCTGGATGTCCATGGGGTTCACGATGGCTCTGTACCTGGGAAGACAATATGCCTCAAATTATGAAAGAAAGGAGGGGGGGCGTGAAA